CCCCCCCACCCCCCTCACACACACACAGCATGTACTGCTGTGTGGGGTTGTTCCTCCCCAAGTGAAGGATGCTGCACCTTCCCCTGTCCCTTTTTAAACTTCTTGATGCTCCTCTCAGACCATTCTCCAGCCTGTCTAGTCCATGGCAACATGACCTTTTGGTATATTGACCACTCCTTCCAGTTTTGTACCCTGTGTCAATATTTCCCTAACATACTCACTTTTGCTGCAATAATTTATCCTTAAAGGGCCTCCTTCAACCAGAGACTCACTACATGGTGACCCACCTCCTTTGAAACAGCACTGGTGTCATAAAGAGAGAGTTCCTCCATGAAGAAACCATTTTCAAGGCCTTTGCTGATACAGGCAACAGTGGGGCTTAACGTGCATCTTGTGAACTCTGAGAATCCAGAGACCCAGGGTACTTGATATATTTCATGGGAAACAAACACAAAAAGTACCCAAGAAAAATAACTATCAACAGGAAAATAAGCACACAGCAGTGACGGGTGGCTCGCTGGGCCTAAGAGGGGTGGCTGGTGCCTGGGTGTCACCAGAGAGGACCAGGATGGCCTTGCCTTCTGTTTTGCTGATTAAGGACACAAATTAAACTCAAGACACCAGAGTGAAAAGAGTAGGCGTATTTTACTGGTGATAACGAAATAATATAACAGAGTAATACAGAAAACATGCAGTAAGAAAAGGCAGAAAAATGCACCTAAAGCAACAAATAAGAAAATACAGGGTAATGCATCAAATCATTACTACATGAGAGAGAGAATAGTGATTTAGAAAGAGCCATCACCACTTACATATGTTACCATCATCCAGACCCACAGTCACTGGGGCAGCCCCAGTTACAGTGAGGATTTGGAGAGCCTGTCCCAGCGAGTGGGAAAAACTACGTGATGCATCCATCTGTAGGTGAAGCATCCAAAGTCATTGCAAGTGGGTCCAGCCTTATATACTAGAGATCAGCAAGCCAGAATAGCTGGCAGCTTTGTTTTGAATGGAAAATTTCTGGTTTCATTCTCCTGTTGGATTCCACCCAAAGCCTGGCCAGGGCTCGGCGGGGGTGGGGGGGAAACCCAGGGAGTTTCCAACAAGGCCAAATACTTGGGTTCTCAGCCTTGAACAAGGCTGAGAAATGAAAGTTGGATACATTCTCTCGGCCTTTCGGCCTCACTACTGATTATGCTCTGTCTAAACTGTATCTTTCACTGGTGAGTTTACATATTTTGTTAGTGACTACATGCTAAGTTAGCAGCTTTGGCTCAGGGCCTGTTGTTCAGGCTTCAGTAATTCAATGCTTTAGCACTTTTTACATCAGCGTGACTTGTTATAACTTAGTACAATACCTATTAGCACAATGGTTATCAGTTATAAATATACAGGATTCATCTATAGGTCAAATCTGTCTTGGGCCTGTTGTCCAAGCCTCAGCACTTCACCTTCCGCACCCTCCGAGGGCCAAAAGGTGCTCAACTGTCCTTTGCTCCCTGGCGGACACGGGCCCAAGGGCAGCCCTGCCTCCCTGTCCGGCCGTTGCCACTGGAAATCCGCCTCACCATGAACGTGTCCCAACAGGCACAGGAGGCGGGTTGAATTCTACAGTTCTGGAAACATTCTAAGTAGCACTGCGACCCACAAGGAAATCCTGAGTTGCGTCTGTGTTTTAGATCAGCCTTCTAGACAAAAGTACGTTAACCACTGAAGTAGCTCTAGAATAGCAATCAAGAAACTTCAAGCTCCCTTAATGTCCAAAGATAAGAATAACAAATCTGAATTCTGCATCTCTCAGAGATGCAACAAAACATGGTGCTTTTTCCGAATTGTAAATTGGGTAACTTAACAAAATTTAATTCATGATCATCAGCAACCAGATCATGTTAAGAAATTGTGCAGTTTAACAGTCTTAGCCAGACTTACTTTTAAAATTAAGTCTGGGTCAAACTTTCATTACTTTGAGACACAGTATCTTTTATTACCATGCAAGACAAAAATATTTTATGAAATTGTAGAAGGAGATTATAAATGCGACCAATAGTGAACTTTAATATTGTTCAAATTTCCTTTTTTAAAAAAGATTTTTTACATAGATCAAAATGGGTTGAAATAGGCAAGAGATATCTATTCAGAAATGTTTGCAGTGCCACACAGTTGAAAAAGCTGGAAAGCACAAGACAGGACCAAATGTTTGGGGTTTGTCTGGCTGCAGAACAGGACAAGCTGCAGGATTTTCTTAGATGCAAACAAGAACAAAGGTAAAACTAACTGGTGACATGGATGAGGTGCAGTGTTGGAGGGGACATCTATGAAAAAAAATCTTTTTCATTAGAAGTACAATAGAAAGACACAGTCACAAGGAGTTACTCTCACAACTGTTTACTTTGCATTACTGCAGATGAATCTGAACTATAGTTTCAGAAACAACAATCCTCGATCCCTATATTAAAAATAAATTTTATTCAGCACACCAGGTCAGAAGATAAACAGCTTTCCCAAAACTTTGTACTATCAATACGCAGATTTTAGTTTCTGTTTCTTAAAGATGCTTCTAGATTTTGTTTGCTGGTCACTACCCTCTACTGGCATCGTGATGCGCTGCAGTTGTTTTGCTCAGAACACTTAAGTGAATAACATCACCTACTAGTAAGCTATGACTTGTGTTTTTCATGCAGACAGGCCTGAAAAGCAGTGGAACATCTGAAAATGGAAAGTAATTCTGTGTTTCACTAGTTTTGTTTATATTATTTGAATATAAATTATATTATTTGAGTCAAGCTATTAACTACAAATACAGTCCTGGGTTTTTTTTTCTGGCTACTAAGGTGCTTTAGAATTGGCTGACTTTTTTATTTTTCTGTGATTTCTAGAGATTGTTCTGTGAAATCCCTTCATACAAAACATCAGTATCTATTAACTATATTTTCTCATTAAAAAATTAGTGAGCAAATCATACTAATGTTAGTACAAGTTCTTCAAAGAAAACCAAGAAAGTGATACCTAAATCTGCTTTAGAAAATGGGAAGAGTCAACTCTGGACAGAAGAGAAACTTAAAGATGTCATTATAGGTATTTCAGTAGTCTTCAATACAACGGTAGGCTTCTGTTGACAGAGACAGGTTTTATCAGGGTTGGAAGGAAACACTAATGGTTTTTTAACTTCTGTCAAGACATTCCAGGAACTGGCCACTAACAACCATTTTTCTAATGTCCTCCAATGGAGCACAGTCATGATGAATTTCATGTCAATCTGTAGATGCTGATTGTCAACAACTGTATGAAATTAAAGTCAGATCTTCTGGATACTGGAATGACAAAGACACCCAGTTTAAAAGTAGTAAGTAGTTGTATGTGAAATGCTGAAAAGAACTGAAACTCTCCATGATGCAAAAAGGATTTATATTTGACTTATTAAAGTGACACAAAGACAATGCATACCTTGTGAATTTTATATTACGTATCATTTCTGCTCACGTTCCTCTTGGATTCTAGGCACATTATGCTCTGGACATCACACCTTTGATTTGAGAGCATTGATATTTTCATAAATATATGACATTGGGCCACCTTGTATTTTACTATGTTTTCTGTTTTTCAGGAGTTGTCTGGAGTAAGAATACACCGATGGAGTATTTGGAAAACCCTAAGAAATACATTCCTGGTACAAAAATTATTTTTGCTGGAATTAAAAAGCAGAATGAAAGAGCTGATCTTATTGCGTACTTGAAAAAAAGCAAGTATGAAACATTCATGAAACATTGCTGTAGCAGTTGTAATGTCAGTGAAAAATGTTTTGAATTTTGACTAGCTCCTATGTCAACTTTTAGTATTTTGATGTTAATCACTAGGGACTGGCTTTAGCAAAATCAAATAAGGATATATTTTAAGATGCTATGACGTAATAAATAACATTGGAAGGTGAGCATTATTTATATTGTGTTATATATTTCATAGACCTTTGTGTAGTGTACTACAGAAATACTGTTCCTCTCTATAAGGAGACCCAAGATCCCAGTTCTGCAATTAGCTATTCAAACAGCAACTGAAACGATTATTCAGTTGTGGCTATGTAAATAAGAAAGTGCCTGTAAGTACTGGGATTGACAACTAAATGAAGGTTTTCTTTTGGAAAAAAAATCCTTGTCACTATCATCAGTAAAGGAAAGTCCCGTATGCAGTAGATAACAAAACATAGTCTTACATTAAAAGAACTCTATATAAGGATGAGGGAAGTGGAATATCAGGAACATCAGATATTTTCAGGGGAAAGTAACCTTTTAGTAGTGATGTTGACCTAAAAGAATCTTGACGAGATACCTGAACACCCATGACCTTTAAGGTTTAAAAATATAACCCCACTCATCCTATTGTTAGTGTTCCTTTGTGTATTAAAACCCCATAATCAACTACCAGTCATTTTTCAGCTGTGGATCTTTTTTCTCCATCTGAGGCTAATATATTAAGGTATCCTTATCCTCTCCCATGTAGAATAAATAAAGAGTAACTAGCTTGAGCAAATGATAGTAGTAGATATTTTCACCAACAGTAGAGGACTGATGAAGATGATTACAACCCTCCAAAAACCCTCCTCATGAATCTCTACTACTTAAATTGTGATTTACAATTTAATTCTCTGTTTACAGAGATGTAATAGGTTAAAACATACTTCACTCAAGCAAGGTTTCCTTATGGCATCGCAGAAAGGAGCATTAGTACAAAACTAATTTGCTACAGGGCCTATTCCCAGGTACTCATTTTATCGGTATTGTTCCAATGCTTACCCACCAGGGGCTTTAACTGATTGTCTTACAGTGCTCCATAGAGCTGAACTGCTGTCTTCAAGTAAGGGAATAAGAAAGAATTGGGTAAAAAGTTCTGTGACATAACTGGATGAGTACCTGCTTTTTTTTTTTCTTTTGTG